TAAGAGGAGGTTGGATGACCACCTTGCTGGGGTCATTTGACCCCAGTGCTCTTCCTGCCATGGCAGAGGGTCGGACTAGATGATCTGCTCAGGTCCCTTCCGACCCTAGAAACTATGAAACTATGTCTGTAAATGCTTTACGTCTTTAATGTCCATTCTAGCTCCAGGGATAAAGCTGGATAAATAAAACACTTTTCCCCATAAATTTGTAGCTGTTTACCTAAAATTGGAATTGTAAGACTTCCTCCAAATATTTGCTTTCCTAAATCTATTTCAGCTCCACTTTTATACTCATTGACCATGAAAGCATGAATTACAATTGACTTGCGGCAGTCCTAACCCAGGCCAGCTGTGACAATCCTGTAAGAGCTGTTCTTTCTCACTTGGGCAGAAGATATTCTGGGCACTCACTCCACATGCCCTGGACACTAGGAAAGCTAGATAACATGATATACAGCTGGCTGAGTTGGCTGTCTGTCAGGCAGGGATTCTCTGATGCAAAGGGAATCCCAGCTGCCTGTTTACAAGTTCTGGTACAAAGCAGTCAGGCAAGAAACCAAGGTTCAGGTCCCAACCATTCAGCTATTGCTATGCAGTAGCTAAAATGTAGCATTTCTTTTTGTTCTATTCTCTTTCTTTGATTGACATTTTTCTTCTTGCCTCTGCCTGTGTCTCTCCCATGTTTCATTTCAGCTTAGGAATGATCCACTGGGTCCCTGTCTCCCTTCTGTTTCTGTGAAGCTCTGCTTTCAGAGACTTTTTAGAGATTTGTAGCTGCAGCAGTTGGGCGTGAAAGGAGAACTTGTATTTAAAGTACAAGAAAGCAACGTTTTTACTTGACATGGAAAAGTCTTGGAGGTTGGGTGTTATCAGGCAAGGCTTAGACTGTTGAACAGCTCTTTTCTATCTCCAGTTAATGATTCTGTGTAGCAGGTTGTCACTTTTCACAGCAGTTTTATTTTCCCTGGGGCAAACTTGTCCCCATAGGAAATAATATAAATCATACAACAAACAAAATACATGAACAATAAATGGTTAAATCAAACTCTCCAGTCCTTTCCCAGACCCTGAGAGAGCAACCCCAACTCTGTATTGCCTCAAGACCGCAGCCTTCCCTTTCTTCTTCAGCTCCATCCTCTGGAAGCTTTTAACTTCAGCCAATCATTCCTGTCAGCTGGCCCAGTCCTCCAAGGCTGTCTAACTGCCTGCAGCTTGGCAGCAGCCCCTGAGCCCTGTATCCTGTTACATTCTGACTTTAAGATTCACCCCAGGCTCTATACTTCAGTCTTAACTCAGGCAAAACCCCTTGTGACTGGAAGTTTGTTTGAGCTTGGCACCAGGCTGGCCTCTGGGCATTAGCACATACAAACATATACAAATATCTACAATAAAACAAGATGGCAAAGCAAAGTGAGACAGTCGTAGAGGGAATAGCCTGAGTTTTCCTGTGAATTTGTGATCCTTGCATGCCTCATTGTGCTGTGTGTTCAAAGACATGATTTCTATATATTTACATAATTTAATGAATGCTCAAAAATATAAGGTTATATCTAAAATTATGCACTAAAGAGGACAGAGACACATTTTTGACACTCAAGAATTTTTTTTTTTTTGCCATCTCTTAAAAAGTAGTCTTTCTTCCTTATGCAGCTCATTTGCTGAAGCTTGGAAGATAAATTTAGCCAATTAGTCAAAATTTGTGTTCCACATCAGATAAATGTAACACAGATTGAGGATGCAGTTTATACCTCTATGTATGTAGCTTATGTGATTTGTAACTTCTATGCTATCATCTATGTATTTTTCCCCACAATATCATTTGTCTCCTGAAGGAAAGAAACATTTCTAAAGGAATCTTGTGATACTTATGCCACTAGTGAAAAAGAGGACAGTATAAAAGTATCTTTTAGCTTTCATTTTTAGGAGCCAACATTTCCAGCTTAAAAAATGGAATATTATTGGGACTAATGGCATTCAGAGTGTTAGCACAGGGGGTAGGAATTCATCTTGGCTTTAGGCTTCATCAACACCATTTTAAATGAGCCATCAACATTAACCATTAACCTTGATATGCTGTATAATAGCATAATTTAACATTCTGAACTGCAGCATTATAAAAGGTAAAGTTCTAGCCAAAGGGTGAAGGGATCAAGTGAAATGTATTTCCCATTTCTTTTGGAAACTAGAGTAATACTATTATGGTAGGAGGTGTTAACATCATGCAAGTTATGAATCATCAGCTTGTAAGTATTCAAGGAGAAATTCCTCTCCACAAGTGTACCAAGAGTGAGTTGCTTCCTGGTGACAGAGTAGCAGTGCCTTCCCTTTCAGACATGCAGTTTTGATCACTTCTATTGCAGGTAGACAGCACCTGTATACATTTGGCAGATATAATATGTTCAGGCTCAATTAAGGTGTTTTCTCCTCCACTGGGGCACTGATTTGAAAAGACCTGAAATTTGCAACTGTTTGGCAGTGGGGCACAATGCATTTGCCGAGTGTGTGAGTGAAGCCAGAGTGTTTTTCAGCTGTCATGTACCATCCACAAGAAAAATGGCTTGTACACACACACGCTTTGCATAGTTGCCTACCAACACATACAGAAATATACAAATCACCACCTTCAAATCTGGGTGCCTTTGATAGGGGTGCAACTGCCCAACTTCAGACTTCCAAGTTATCAAATTAGGCAGAATATAACCCAAAATTCAAATAACCATCAGCAATGCTGTTACAACTACAAATCAAACTGAAGCAGGAGATGTTGGGTCCCACATTGTCCACTTCTACCCTATTAAGGTACTTCTTCTACCATTCTCTGTTGATTGTACAGTCATGCCCCTGATGTAGCCAGTCAATAAAAATCAGGTATATGCAGACCTTTGTTTTTATATAAA